CGCCCACCAGGCACCACTCCCCACCATGGCCACCCCCGCCCACCAGGCACCAGTCCCCACCATGGCCACACCCGCCCACCAGGCACCACTCCCAACCATGGCCACACCCGCCCACCAGGCACCACTCCCAACCATGGCCACACCCGCCCACCAGGCACCACTCCCCACCATGGCCACACCCGCCCACCAGGCACCACTCCCCACCATGGCCACACCCGCCCACCAGGCACCACTCCCCACCATGGCCACACCCGCCCACCAGGCACCACTCCCCACCATGGCCACACCCGCCCACCAGGCACCACTCCCCACCATGGCCACACCCGCCCACCAGGCACCACTCCTCACCATGGCCACACCCGCCCACCAGGCACCACTCCCAACCATGGCCACACCCGCCCACCAGGCACCACTCCCTACCATGGCGACACCCGCCCACCAGGCACCACCCCCGACCATGGCCACACCCGCCCACCAGGCACCACCCCCAATCATGGCCACACCCACCCACCAGGCACCACTCCCAATCATGGCCACTACACCATCACCACCCTACACAACATCCACTCACTCATCCTCATCATGGCACACACCAAACAAGTACGATGAATGTTGTTTCTATTGGGCGGTTTCTAGTTCCTATCCACTAGAAACTCAGAGAAAACTTGAAAACTCTCCAGAGAAAACGGGACAGCTTCAAGATTTGAAGGTAACCATGGCCACCCCTGCCTGGTGGGTGGGGGTGGCCATGGTTGGGAGGGATGGCAACAATTTTATTGTAGTTTATTGTGCACCCCATACTCATCCTGTGAGCGGTAGCGCAAAAAAAAAGCATTACAGAGGGCACAAAAGGTCTTTATCAGACCTCATCGGAGATTATTACATTAATAATTTCAACTATCCTTCACACCTTATAATTACATTGTCAGCTAGTTACAAAGACTGTTCTATTTCAAGAGCTATGTATTTACAGTTAATTATTGTCTGATAATTTGATAATGTGTTGTAATAATCAAATGGGATAAACCCATTTGATAAATCATAATAGGCCTTCTCGTTAATACACAATTGTTTAAGCTATGAAAATATTAGTCATAATGGAGCTGCTGTTTGTTATTATTAGTTTTCACAATACACTACTTGTTTCTTAATCTCATGTGTCGTTTATCTACTGGAGGCGATACATGGATACACTGCAAGGATTTCAGGTATTTTACCCTTAGTAATAATATGGTTTGCCATTTCATACAACGTGAGTTTACATCTATATCTAAATGGCTCAATTTTATTAGTCCAATATATAATGCTTAAGTGTGCGTCCCTGTCTTTGTCCACGCACTTTACATCATCTAGATCCCTATACAAGCCCAACTGCCAGAGATACTTGTAGCCAAGTCTTATTCGAGTTGTGACAACATCTGTTAGTCTGCTGATGTTGCTGCTTGCCCCATACACATATTTTACTTCACACATTTTATTGTGATAAACAATGGACCTGCTAATTCCAGTTTGCACTGTTCTGCTTTCTTCAAATTAATCCTTGTGTTCTCTTCTAATTACACTTTTAAGGGACCAATTTGATAACTCAAAATTCCGTTCAATTTTTCTTCAAGAAGTGCACGACCAAGCTATAGTGGATACATGGGTCTGCGGGCCGTTCCAAGCAACAGCCTGTTGGACCAATCTCTTACAAGTCAAACCTGGCCCCGGGTCGGACTTGGTGAGTAGAAGTAGACTATTATTACGACTATTCTACTCATCATACCTTGATGGGGAGGGAGTAGAGTCCCATCAAGGAATGCGGAGACGACAGTCATGGGTGGGGGCGGCCGGCTAGGACCGGCTGGGTAAACACGCGCCAGGCCGTCCCGCGCCATCCGTCACCGACCCGGCTAATATTACGTGACTAGGAGACGCTTGGCCAGCTGGCCTCTGACAACACTATTGCCACGCGCCTTCTCATCCAACACTGTAGGTGATGTTTGTATAATACCCCAACACGTGCTTACCTATCCCTCACTATGGCGAAGCCAGCTCCAGCTGTATGCCCCCGTCTACTGACGATGTTATACCTATTGCGTTTTTGTGACAGTGAGTGATAGGAATGATGACGTGAGCGCATGTCTAATCTTTTCACACTCGCAATGTAAGGATCCTAATGTACAACTCCATCCTACTGTATAACTAAGACCAGTTTTCAGAAAATGCTTCTGTCATAACACTTACTGCACTCTAATTGTGACCCTCAACCATGCATAACTAAATAATGGATTAATGAAATTAAAAGCATTGCAATATTGGTGCTTTCTCGGGTTCTGAGAGTCAGTATAGTTGCCAAGCTTCTGCTTAGGCAAAAAACCACTTCAAATTTGACGCTTGCAAAATTATGAGGACGGACTGAATGAAAACAGAGGCGATGCTATTATTTTTACGGCAACTAATAAACACAATATTAATTACTCTGTGTATTGTTCTGGCGTAGTGGTTGTGTGGGCAGCGTTATGACACTACCCACAGGTAACTCCGGCGTGGAGGCTCCCCGTGAGGGCCAGTATCAGGTGGCCTGTCCTACCTGGCCTTACACAAACGCTCAACTACCCAACCTCTTCGTACAGTTAATCACCTGTGACTAAAAATATCCATGACGATGAGTCGTGTGAGGTGCACCGCCAGACCTGCTGTTTCACTCACCACACACACAAATAGGTGAACACACACACACACACACACACACACACACACACACACACACACACACACACACACACACACACACACACACACACACACACACACACACACACACACGTACGTAGGTTAGTTCCCCCCGCCCCCTCACGCGCCTTACACCTGTACCATCCCTACACCTGCACCATCCCCACACCTGTACACCACCCCCGGAACGAATGGACACGTAGCTGGTTTGATCTCTCTCTCCCGCAAGAACAACCTTGTGTTACTAATTACAGAGACAATCATTATACCCATCGTTGCTACGCCTGCTGAATATCCCAATCAGAATTAAGTTGAAGCCGCCGTCATCACGTGAAGTATTAGGAGTGGAGGAGAGGTCGACGTGTGGCTCCCTGGGTACATACTGTATTCAGTGTCTGGCCAGCGTCTCACTTTACACCCTATGCTTTGGGGTCATGTCATCCACAACCCACTCAAAATATCAATGTTTTATTCCCAACACATCAAATGTACTTTCAAACCAATTTTCCCCAGGTTTTCAATATTTACACAACCTAAAATAATTGATAGTGTATAGTTAACATAATTAAAGGTATCTGATAAATTGTTACAAATGATAATGTAATTGTCCCCCTAGCGACCAAGAGCAGAGCGACGCTAAACACCTACGTGGTATATATATTGATAAAGACGATGAGTCACAATAACGTGGCTGAAGATATGACCACCACACCACACACCAGAAGATGAAGAGACGACGTCGTTTAGGTCCGTCTTGGACCATTATCAAATCGATTGTGACGGGAGCGAGATTGATTGATTTATGAAAATTAAGCCACCCAAGAGGTAGCACGGGCCTGAATAGCCCGCAAACGCTAGATTTTTTTAAGTGAATGTGATCTTTGGTCGTGAACGGATATACTGTGTGCTGAGCTTGCTTTTAAATCATCAATCCTTACTATGTGGGTGCTATCGCGGGGGAGGATACTGCTTGACGGTATTTATGAGACTTACTGCTGGACACCTCTTGTGACCAGAAGCGTGTTGATGGCTTCAGGGTGGTTACTGGAAGATTTAGGGACTCTTTAAAGCTCTTCTAAGGTCGTTGGCCAAGTTTCAGCCCCGCTCCTGTGCCAGGTAAGTCCATCACGGGCTCACCATAGCCCGTGCCACTTGGAACTTAGTTCCCAGTAGCTGAATCTTAAACAACAACAAACGTTGTTGGTTGCTTCACATTCCAGGAGATAATGTGGGAGCGAGATTATTGATGTTTTAGATTCAGTTACTCTGGACAAAATGGTGTAAGTAGCACGGGCTATGGTGAGCCCGTAATCCTATGGTAATGGGAGAGAGGGAGGCACGGGCATTAAGACAAGAGTGAGGCGAGGAGCAGGTTAGAAGGTAATTCCTAGAAGAAGGTAAGAGTAAGGTGAAATACAATTACAGGAAGAAATGTACCAATGGGATGGGTGTAATAATGGGGTGCAGGAAGAATGGTATAGGTAAGAATATGAAGATAAAGTAAACAAAAAAAATGGAAGAGTTATGTCAGGTCACGTTTGTTAGAAATGTTAGAGCATTTGAGTGTGTACTGTACAAGGGAAGAGTCAACACCAACAAAGCCACGACTAAGGTCCTTGTGGCTTTGTTGGTGGCTCTTCCCTTCCACAGTACATACTCAAATACTCTAACATTCCTAACAAACGTGACCTGACATAAGCCTATCCCCTTTTTCTTGTTTTCTTTTCATTTCTCCTCTTATTCATATTTCCACGGGCTCACTATACCCCGTGCTACACGGACATTTCGTTCTGAGTAGTCTAGATCAACTACCACCCCGGTCCCACTCTTGGGTGGCTTTATCAATCTCCCTCCCATCACAATCGACTTTATAATGGTCCAGGATGGACCGAAACGTCGTCTCCATTTTCTGGTGTGCCGTTTGGTCATCATGTTAATAAACCCTTAAATATGTCATGGGCTCCCTTTTCTAGTAAGTTGTACCCCACATACACCATATATGTGCTTCAACGATAGCTAACAGTACAGCATCATCATCTCTAATTGTTTAACAAATACCTGTAAAGGATGTAATACTCGAATACTCCACTTCGGTGATCATTAACACGCTAAGTGGATGAACACTAAGTGGATGAACACGCTAAGTGGATGAACACTTGCAAATAAAGCCACGTTGATAATACTCACCAACACAGTGCTGAACGCAGAGCCCACCACTTCCGACAAGTGAAAACTATACAAAAACATTTTAGGAGTAGGGAAAGTACATGACAAGGTGTACTCACTTTGTGTTGAGCTCCCTCAGTTTGGTCTCTATTTTCTTGGCGACCCTGACGTTGGAGGCGGAGGAGAGCAGAGCCTCGGCAGAGTCGTTGATCTGGACCACTGATGCCTGTGGGAGGAAAGGGAACACCACCGGGTCACTCACCACACTCAATGTTTACACGCGCGGGCATACAAGGGCGCGCAACACCGCCTCATTCCTTACACACCGCCACACTTAACCTTATATAGATATGCACTTCTGGCCTGCCGTTACCTTTCTTTAAGGGGGGGTAGAAATAGCCTAAGCTACTCTATCCCTTTGAAATGTATTTCTTGCTTATCTCAATAAACATACTTGAACTTGAACCTTTCTTTCACTTATTTCATATACATTTATAGAGACTATTTTCCATCAATATCGGAGATCTGGTGTGATGTCTTAACTCTTACTGCCTTGGTCTTGTCAAAGACAACTAAGGCTACAGCACTTATAGAAGAGATCGGGTATTATTATAATTATTTTTAATCAAGACTAGGGTTTATACGGAACCGTGTTGAAGTTCCTAATGAAACTGCAAGCTAAGAGTTTTTATCCTATGTCAGCTTATCTGAAGAATGTTCCTGGAAACAGAATTTTGGCGAGCCTTTTATGTATTAACCATTATGAATAACAAATTCTATGCTAGGTAATAATCAAGTATGGAACAGGACGAGTTAGAAGCCAACTATGTGCTCAGGAAGGCAGCCGCGTCTAACAGCCTGGTTGATCAGTCCAGCAACCAGGAGGCCTGGTCGACGACCGGGCCGCGGGGACGCTAAGTCCCGGAAGCACCTCACGGTAACCTCAAGGTAAGTCTTCACTTGATTAGTCTTGATTTCAAGAGTATGTACAAGTTGAACAAACTTTTTCTAAATGCGGGTCAGCCTAAGAATGAATGATCGCTGACAGTCAATACACTTGTGTCTCGGAGAGGCTGCGGGATCCGTGTGAGGGCAGCAGCACTCCAGGTTGCAATTCTTCTGACCCTGTCGTGGCACAATCGACTAAGGCGCGTCTGGGATCATCCTGGACGTAGGTTCCAATCCTCATCACGGCCCTTGTGGATTTGTTCATCGCTGATAGAGTGAAGCTCTTGAGAAAGGCACAGCCAGCATAAGGTTGTTGACTGCTGAGCGCCTTGTTGTGTGATCATCAGTAAAGTTGAGAAAGATGGGGAACATTGACAACATTTGACTTGAAGTAATTCCACTGATATTTTTGAAGTGTTGAAGGTTGTGACGCGCTGACCAGTCCATCCAGAACGGGTCAAGCCTCGAGTCCTCTGGCACGGTTCTCCACCTTGTCTAAAATTATGATAAACAGGGAGGGGGGGGGGCAGGCCATCCTGAAGTGGTGCGCACTTAAGATGGGAGTGAACTTGGACCTCAGTTTTGCAGCCCTTGCCGTCAAGATGGTATGAGATTCGCCTTAAGACAATTAAGTTTCTTGGTTGCCTTACTTGCTAGGTAAAGCACGTGACTTTTCATGGCCATTGAAGAGTCAAGACTTCATTCCCAAGATGACAATTTCGTCACTAAACACTAGTTTTTTCCACTCATTTTTACACCGGTTGCCTTAGCAACATCATGACGTCTAGTTATCACAACCGCCAGCGTTGTAGCAAGTGACCTGCCATCGTCTTCCTCTGGTAGATATTGCTGCAAGTTGTGATTAATGAGCATCCTAGCATTTGGTATTTCTACTTTTACATATGTAAAGGTTAGAGTGTAGTCCCTGAGCTTCAGGAATTAGTAGTAGTAAATCGTTAAAGTAGACGTTCCATAACAAAGGGTCAAGAAGGCTCTTCAAGTACTGGGAATGAGGGAAGGGTGGAGGCTTGACTTAAATGTGGACCATACTCGGTGCTGATAAGCGTGAGGGGGGGGGGGGGTTATCCTGGCCAAGTTAAAGAAGAGCGCCTCAGACAAGAACATATGAAAACATACACGTACTTCCTTTGTAGTGCAAAAACGAGCACAGTGAAAGGGAGGAGGCAAGGCAAGAATATAAACCATTCAAGTAGGTAGTTAGTCTATTCATTTACGGGTTAATAAAATGAGAGATATTCTACGGGGCAGTGATTATGGACAATTAAAGAAGCGTCGGGTACAAGGGTAAAGGTTGGCATCACAAAGCACTAAGCTACAGACTACACACAAGTACAGAGGTTTACGGGTCATTGGGTAAGGCCGGAGAGAGTGGTCGTGGGAAGGGGTACACCGGGGGAGGGCAAGGTTGGGATAATTTGGGGAATACAACTCAGAGAAGGAAGGTGGCTGCTTTAAGTACGTGCTCGTGACCCGGAAGTAGGTCAGGGTTAAGCTGAGGTGAAGTGGGCGCAGGAGCCAGTCTCTGCCTGGCTTGTGTCCTTAGCTGCTGCTGCCCCGCATACCAACGTTTCCGGTATGCAAATTAGTTTACAGCCGCCCCCCCTCGCTCCACTCAAGTCGCACATGATAACGTTACACAAAACTGTGATTTTGGCGGTTGTCAGTAGTCCACTTGCGCTAGTACACGTGACACTGAAGACGAGACACCGGCACGGGGCTAGTGGATCCTTTGACATTTGGGTGCTGCCGTGAGGAATGTGTCTACCCGAGGGGTCAGGCACAATAATAAATAAAAGCGTCTTAACCTTGTTATTCAGAGACTATAGAAATATATGGTAAAGCGGGGTGATGAGAGCAGGCGGGTACTAAACACCAGACACAACTCTGGTACAGTAGTTGGGTGGAGAAGTACACAATACTGGTGAGTTAAAAGTAATTTGATGAAGCAGCAAGGAGCAAAGATAGAGTACTAGGGAGAACACTAAGAGGGTGGTGGTCACTCTGGAACCGCGCGACAACGTTCTAAGCTGCCATAGAGATCGTTCCGAGAGACCAAAATAAGTGAAGACGCTGCTAGGTCCGTGTCGGGCAGCAGGAGCACACAGGAGGCAGCGTGAGTCGCGGTACACTAGAGCACAGTACCCAGCAAGCCTGGCAGAGGTACGCGGTGAAGGCATATATGGGGGTACATAAAGGATAAGAAAACAAAGGTGAGGACAAGTACCTGGTGGGACATGATGTCTGCGTGGAGCTGGCGGTGTTCCCTCAGCTGTTCGTCAAGACGGTCGCGGTTTAGCGAGGCTGGCTTGCTCACGTTCCTGGGGAAGACAACAAAAATACCCTACATTACTGCTCTCATGGTAGGCCTACGCCCAAGCCCCGACCCCCGCATACACCCACCCGCATCACAGCCAGTCAACACCAAGCTCGCCGCTTGTGGTAAAATTACGTATATTAGTCTTACCTGTACCTCTTGCAAATGAACACTAAATAGCTACCAAAAATTATGCTAATATGACGTTTTTCCGTCTAACCCTAAAGGGCTAAATCAGTGCTTTTTCACTTGGGAAGGAAGTTGAAAAGATTAGCTTACAACTGTCCTGGTCCCATGTGTGTGTCACTGAAGGACGCGTTTCGCCGAGGCGCTCTTTAAAATCTTTAGAGGCGTAGGGAAAATTAATAGAAATTGGCAGGTGACAATATATTTTGCAGGTGTGATGAGTGGCGTTACCCAGGCCCCTTGACTGCATACTTTTTCCCTGCGTTCTCATCGGTTGGCTCCGGTAGTATAACTACTTCGCTAAAATTTCCAGTTGACTTGTTGATGGATATATCAAAGTATAAGCTGCCTGCCTTATACATATTTGTTGGACGAGCAAATATAATGTGTAGTAATTCGGCTGTCTAAACCTTTGCCGTTGTCCCTGTCGATTATCTTGATAGTGTTGGTCAGGATATCTGGCGATGGTCTGGTTGTATGTAGAAATAATGTAATCTTTGATGGGGCCTTGTTGTAAGTGCATTAATGTCAAGTACCTAGGAAAAGATGACATCCTGCTTGTATATTGAGCAGCATAGAGACTAGTCTCTTTTTAAAGGAGTTCAATGTGGTGTTTGCGAGTTCATGAGCAAGTTTGTAGTTTTCTTACTCTTGTAGTGTATGGCGAGCTGTAGTCTTTAGATACCATTTGCAATAACCCCGACCCCAAAACACACTCCTACACCAAGGCTACGAACGCCACGTTTGCTACTCTCTAAAAATGTTTGTACATTTAGTGGAAGTCAATAACTGGTACATGGAATGTGTACAGTTGCTGGAGGGGGGGGGGGGCTGGTGGTCAGTGTTTCAGACCATCCATAAACACGACTGTTTGGTTTATTGCCACTCTTTGTAATCTCTTCCTTAGGAAATTTAAAATTAACGTCTCCTTAATTTTATGGGTTATTATTCCATGGTCACATCTATCCAATGCTTCTGTAACACTTCATGTATACAACCTCTGCAAGTGTTATTCACAGGCTTTGAGCCTCAAGAGGCCGAAGCTCTATCGACCGAGCTATTGAGTACCACCAAGAATTGAGTACACAAAGTACTTGAGTACTACCTGCCCAGGGTTCAAACCCGGCCCCAGTGGCTCGCGTGGTCTGGGATGAGCACGCCACAATTTCGACAAGAGGAACTTAAAACTGCCACTAACTACCTCGGTAATTTTGTCGTTGGGAACGAGTAATTGTGAAAGACTATCTTTCTGCTCTAAACTCTCGTTGATCTGATATGCAACAATTTTCAATATACTGTAACTAGTGGTAAGTGGTAAGGTAAGTGGTAAGCGGTAAGTGGTAAGCGGTAAGTGGTAAGACACTCGCCTGGCGTTCCGCGAGCACTATGTCATGGGTTCGTATCCTGGCCGGGGAGGATTTACTGGGAGCAAATCCTTAACTGTAGCCTCTGTTTAACTCAACAGTAAAATGTGTACTTGGATGAAAAAAAGATTCTTCGCGGCGGGGATCGTATTCCAGGGACCTGCCCGAAACGCTACGTGTACTAGTGGCTGTACAAGAATGTAACAACTCTTGTATATATCTCAAAAAAAAAAAAAAACAGTGTGTTGGCGTCTGTATGTTGTTGTAGTGGACAACCTCCTCAGTGTTGAGTCCGCGGGAAGTCACGCATCACAGGTCTTCTCCTTTACATTATACCGAGTACCGTGTTAGGATGTTTTACACTTCTTAATAACTGTGAATTCTAGGAATATGGCCACAGAGTGCAGGGCATAGCGTCTTTATCGAAGGCTGTAGAGAGGCTGGAAATATCTGACATGCCTTTCTGTGGGCAGAGATCATGAAGCACTCTTCCACTTTCATGGTGTTCAGTGCATTGATGAACAGTCATGTTGTTCTTTCAGTTTATTTATTTATCACCTTCGGCGTACTTGCCTGCTCTTGTATGCAAGGGACCTATACTTGCAGTTTTGTACATTTGTTCTTTGCATGTGGAAAGCATTTTAATATTTAGTGATTTTCTACAACATTTGTATATTTCATTGTATTATTAGTGTCTTCGTGTTTGCTTTATGTCTCTGACATCTCTGAAGGGCCGCCTGTCTTTGTGGAGACATGTGTGACCTCTTGTGTGTGTATCATCTTCTCTATAGTTGTCTGCCTTCTGGAAGTTGGCCCTAACTCTCATCTTTCTCAGAGGGACATGTTTTATGCACATTTCATGTACTTCTGTATTCACTGTCTGTATATTGCAGGGAGTTAAAAAGTTCCGTGTTGTTTCTCGGTAAGTTTATTCTGCCCGTGTTGAAATTAAATTTATTACAACAAATACAAATATTTATTCAGGTAAAGTACATACATACAAGGCGAGATACGAAAAGTTGATGGATTTATAGATGGAGCTAGTACATACAATGCCTAAAGCCACTATTACGCAAAGCGTTTCGGGCAGGGGCATTACATGTCCCTCGCGCTGGTCATGTGATATGAACGCGTAATATGATTATATTAGTTATCACTTCACTGATGGTCACTTGTAATCGAGGCTCTCAGGTCCTGGTTACTTCAGCATTATTTTTTCAGGTCTAGATTGTTATTCTCTCTGGTTGGCTCAAGTGTGTGTTGGTTCAGCACGAACTTGTCAGTTTCCTTACTTCACTGGTGAGGGGGTGTTAGTCAGCCCACTTGCTAACAGTCTAGTATAATATTTTACTACAGATTCGAAAGGTTGAAATCTATTAGGTTGGCAATATTTGGTATAGAGTTTTCTAGTAGTTCAAGATATTTTTAATCTGTTCTTTCGATTTTTACAGCGGTTGTAACTAAGGTTTTTTATACAAGTATAATAATTTTTTTCTTTTTACTCTTATGCCTCAATCTTCTTGAGGTTATCTTGAGATGATTTCGGGGTTTTAGTGTCCCCGCGGCCCGGTTCTCGACCAGGCCTCCACCCCCAGGAAGCAGTCCGTGACAGCTGACTAACACCCAGGTACCTATTTTACTGCTAGGTAACAGGGGCATAGGGTGAAAGAAACTCTGCCATTGTTTCTAGCCGGCGCCTGGGATCGAACCCAGGATCACAAGTCCAGTGTGCTGTCCGCTCGGCCGACCGGCTCCCAGGCGGTCGGCCTGGGTCTACCGGTATTAATTTTAAAACAGAGGAACAACGCAGGAGATCCTCAAAAAGCCTTAAAGAGCCACCGAGTCCTTCAATGTAGTTGTGTAACCTTCGTTACCTTGGGTCACCTTGTCTGGTGGGGTTAGACGCCTCGCCCAATAACCATCGACCTGCCTTGGTACCAAGGAAGAAATCAATTGTTGAATGCCCGCAAAGACGTTTCCGAACTCCTCCTTACCAACACCACTGGTGTTACCGCCCGCTAGTGTAAAATGATCCTCTTTATTTGGGGTCATAGCAAACCGGTGTATGTTTTGCAACATGCAAAACTGACATGTAAAAAAAGTATGTCTATAAAAAAAAGTATGTATAACTGACATGCATGTAAGAAAATGCAGTTTTTAACAACTGTACCGAATATATCTTAACTTCCACAAATACCAGCAGACTTCAGACACATCCACTGTTATCTTATTATCCTTAACACAGACAACCGCTAAAACAATGAAAATAACATGTTCAATTAGGAACAAAAATGCAGCCACAACTTCAAAAACTTGCCACTTCGTCAAGGTTAACAGAGTTCACTCATAACATGCATTATGGACACTAATCTGGCCTTGATCTTGTCCCAGCTACAATACTCTCATTCAAATCTTATAATTTCAGCACTATATTTAACTCTTTATCATGCCAAGTCGTGTCTAAGTCTCGCCCGTAAAGTTCACTGCTTGCAACAACAGTGTTGCACCGTCCTATGGGTATATGTAGCAGCACTGGTGGCCAGTCATGCCCGCCCTTCTCAATACTATTATGGTAGAGTAGCGGCTCCAACACGCGTCCTACACTTCCGCCAGATACACTCACTGTACAACCATCAACCCTCACCCTGCCAACCTACGTCTACGTACATAACCTGCCATACTAATATATACTGAATATACAGAGACTGGCAAGAACAGCTCGTGCTCCGGGGTACACAAGAAAGACTGGAAACCCAGCTAACAATAGCTATGATAACCGAGCCTTGCCTCCCTCCACATAGGGGAGGGGGGGTGAGGCTTCAAACTAATTGGTTAAATTTGTTTGATTTCAATAAGACTTTTTGTATGATGACCAATAACTGCGATGTTTAGTGTAAAAATTACTGTTTGTATAATTCAATCATTACCGTAGGCCTACATTCGTTCACGCGTATGTAATAGTTCAACAAACCGATGAGCTAAAAGCTATTATTCTAATATATCCAGCTCGATGCAAGACTCACCAAATATTATCCGATATTAACGAACAAAAACCATCCTGATGAAGTAGAGAGAATGTTGTACAACATGTACGGTGGGTTGACGAGATCATCAACAGTGAATATAAAGTAACTATGTTAAAGTCTGAATACTTCTGGGAATAGAGTCATGCGTGTCAGATGAGTGCGTGACAAAAAATGAAAAAAAACAGCAGGAAGCTCACAATATCCACCGCTGCTGTTAATCTACGTGCACTGCGGAGTCAGGAGACACGTGTCAAGCCACCAAGCCATTGCCCCAACTGCCCTTCACTATCTTATTTTAGTTAATTTATATACGGTACTGTATTATGAGAGAGTTACGTACCCCTACTTGATATTACGTTATTTTCCATGTTTCAATTGACTGTGAGCACGTTGAAAAGCGTTGGTGATACGTTCACAACCTTATCTGG